TAATATATTTTAACAATGATGTAAATTTACAATAACTCAACATGAATTTAACCTGGTAAGAACGAGAGACCTGAAATTACATGATTTACTATGCCATCTAGTAATACTTACTATTCAATGTCAAAACCAAAATCCAGTTTTGCAGATCAGGCAAAATACCATTTACATTTTAATGCTTGTGTACATTGAAAAATCTTTAGCATGGATGAATTATATCAAAACCGTGGTGTACAAATGAACATTAAACTACCAGCACAATAAAACACATTTTTGTTTACACAAAGTTTGAATATAGCAAATCACGATAAAACGTGAAACAACAAACCATAGTAACTCATTTTAGTTTTTACCAAATTCAATATGATATAGGCCAAATCGTGATAAAACGTTTCAAAGTCTTATAAAATTAAACAGCAAATTACAAAACTATCATTTCTAAACCTGATTTTTTAATTCAGTTTCTGATATATCGGAAGTTCACGTACTAACGTTGGGTCGATTAAAAATTTAATCTTCTCTAACACCAGATTTAGACATGATTTGCTAACACATATTGTACTGATCAAGTGGACTTTTCTATAGGTTCATGTATACACATATGTGTTGCCTGTGACATATCTACAAGCATGAGCATACATATGTTTCCTGTAGCTAATTAACAGGCTTCATATGGAATATATAGTTGTCATACACTGCCACGTTCCCCGATGGGCTGTTGCCTAGTGACAACCATAACGCAAACATGGCTACCACTCACATAACCGCAAGTCTTCCACCACTGTGTGGCTGTTACAAAGAGAACCAGGGTCCAATTGAAAAAGAAAGTGTAAAATTGCAGGTATTGGTTTCCACATTATTGTCTGAAACCTTTCTAGCACCAGGACATGAGAATACATAAATATTTTACTTTACGTCTGCGGATTTACAACTCTAGAAACCGGATTTTGATACTCCTGGTGGGCAGGGCTCAGATAGCCCATTGTATAGCTTTGTGCTTAACTACACACAAATAAACTGATACAATTTATAGCAACTACCAGCAATGCAGATCAGGTGTTATTACTGCCGTATGTAATACATCCACAGTACACTTAACATGTCTTCTCACTGCAACTTGTCCCCCCAAAAACAAAATAAAAAATCAGCAAAACTGTAATACATCCACAGTACACCTAACATGTCTTCTCACTGCAACTTGTCCCCCCAAAAACAAAATAAAAATCAGCAAAACTGTATGCTTATGAAATATATCAATCTGAACATAGCATCAAAACGAAGTAAAGTAATGGCTACACGAAACTGTCTTTCGGTTGTCATGTAAACCATTCTCATGGATTTAACTTGCTTATCAATATATCAATCTGGACATAGCATCAAAACGAAAGAAAATAATGGCTACACGAAATTGTCTTTTGGTCGTCATGTAAACCATTCTCATGGATTTAACTTGCTTATCAATATATCAATCTGGACATAGCATGAAAACGGAAGAAAGCAATGGCTACACGAAACTGTCTTTTGGTTGTCATGTAAGCCATTCTCATGGATTTAACTTGCTTATCAATATATCAATCTGGACATAGCATGAAAACGGAAGAAAGCAATGGCTACACGAAACTGTCTTTTGGTTGTCATGTAAACCATTCTCATGGATTTAACTTGCTTATCAATATATCACTTTGATATAATTCAGTATATTAGTTACTAATATTACCAAAACCATGAGGGATTTGTAAGCTCTTCTATAACTCTAATTTTGTGAAAACTGGATATATTCTCTCATCGATCATCAACGAAAATATGGATTACACCGTCAATACCCAGAGTTTCATGTATTCTGTTATCATACATTTGTTGCATGTCACCCATCAATACCCAATAGTTTCATGTATTCTGTTTTCATACATTTGTTGCATGTCATTTCTGAGTACTTGACTCATGTATGTGATACAACACCCATGAATAGATATATGCATAATACCATATACATACATATCAACGTTGCATATTATCAAATAGTATAACATTACCAACGAAGTCCATTTGGTCCTTTAAGGCTGTGCATGTAAACCCATTCTTGAGCTAAAGTAAAAGTTTAAATCCACCTTTTATTTTTCATAAAACTATATATTCTCACTCTTAAACTCCTGGAAAGTGTCGGCGATGTCAACTCATTCCCTAAGCCAATCACCCTGTTAGAGAAATAAAACAGTCTTATCTGGAATCTAGCTTCTCCTTTCCAAATCTTAAACTTCTTTCCTTCTATTCTTTCTCTTCATTTTTGAGCTATCATAATTTCTTCAGGAAATGAAAAATAAATAAAATACGTTTAAAGTCTTGCTCCTTGGTTAAAAAATAGACATGTAAATAGCTGGTACTGCTAACTTGTAACATTCTAAAATAAACCCGCCGCTAAAATCAGGACTCAAAAACAAAAACATAATTTACTTACAATAACAACACTTAGAAATAAAGTCAACACAGTTTATAAACAAATGACTGGCCAGGACTTCACATCAACATTAATAAATAATTTATCATAAATATTAATATATCAGTAATAATAGAACCAGGAAAAAGAGCCAGAAAGAAAAAATTTAATTCAAAAATACTGCAGTTACAACATTCAAACAATACCTTTCAATAACTATATCCTTAAATAACTATCTCGTGACCCATTCACTCTCTTTCTCTTTGTGAAGCTTCTGACAGCGTATATATTCACAGAGTAGGTCACGAGAGTACAACCTCATGTCATCATAAATTTGCATACTCTTCTGCTACATTAATAGTATCTGTACGTCACCGCTAGGGAATGTGGTGTCAGCTTCATCATACACACATATATGTTTACTCAAAATACAAATGATTATGTAGAAGGTGAGTTAACGTTTTAATGTAACTAAAATATCATAGATAAACTAAACAATACAAGGAAATAATAAATGAACGACAAACACAAACATAATAATCAAACAACAGAATTTGCTATCTCACAAACACTCTGTTCGACAGCTCACGATTAGTTTGAACCTTGGAGTGTCTGACTTTATTGTTTAACCCATGTGTCACATAAAGTTCCTTTCAGATTAGAAATACCAAATACTAATACATATCAGCCTGAAAAGGGACAAAAGGACATTATGTTGCATGCCTGCTACAAGTTGATAAAATATTAAGAAGTGATGTAGAAGTTTGTATAAATTGAGGTGAGCTGGAAGATAATTTCATTTTGAATGAATGATGAGAATAATATCTGACAGAGGTAATCTAGGATTGGTAGATACCGCACTAGGACCCTAGTCTGATCTAAAACTGAGAAAATATCGTTAAAAGCGGGAGTGCCATCTGAGGAAACAATGCATTCTAATATTTATAAATAGTAATCTAAGAAGTGTATATTTAATTATCTATATCGACTCCCAGGCTTATTTTAGTTTCTCTTTAAATACATGCCTGCTCTGAAATTGTTGTTAATACTAATTTGGTAAACAATTGTAAAATGAGAATGGGTGTCCATGATAAGTAGCTAAATCTAAATCTGATGATTAGTTTTTAATGTTGTTTATCACTATTAATCTAACTAGTGATTGTATTAGTTGGTTTTGCTGTTGAGAATATACTGAAAATGTCCACCAGATTTGAAAATAGTGATCTTTGAAATGTCAACTCACGCTAGAAATCAAAATTCGTATAACGATAAACTAAGAACTGTGGTGTTATCGGTTCAGCTGAGATAATGCACATTTTCACCCAACAGAGGTTTTTAGAATTAGGTGTGAAAAAACGACTTGGTTTATTTTCGTGATACATATACACATTTCTTTCATTTCATTCTGGGAGGGAGTTTGAAAATATTCAGCTTTTTAACCACACTTAGAACTCAAGTTTCTTTCATGTGATTATTTTGATTTATTCCACATCTTGATGAGTTAAATTGTGAGGTTTCTTCTATATCTCGTTGAGGTAAACTGTAAGGATTCACCCACATCTCTTTGGGGTAAATATGGAGGTTTCTTGTGCATTTCCGCGAAATAAACTATGAGGTTTCCTTCACTTCTTGGTGAGGTAGAGTGTGAGGTTTCCTCCACTTCTTGGTGAGGTAGAGTGTGAGGTTTCCTCCACTTCATGGTGAGGTAGAGTGTGAGGTTTCTTCCACTTCATGGTGAGGTAGATTGTGAGGTTTCCTCCACTTCTTGGTGAGGTTTCCTCCACTTCTTGGTGAGGTAGATTGTGAGGTTTCCTCCACTTCTTGGTGAGGTAGATTGTGAGGTTTCCTCCACTTCATGGTGAGGTAGAGTGTGAGGTTTCCTCCACTTCTTGGTGAGGTAGAGTGTAAGGTTTCTTCCACTTCATGGTGAGGTAGAGTGTGAGGTTTCTTCCACTTCATGGTGAGGTAGATTGTGAGGTTTCCTCCACTTCTTGGTGAGGTAGATTGTGAGGTTTCCTCCACTTCTTGGTGAGGTAGAGTGTGAGGTTTCCTCCACTTCATGGTGAGGTAGAGTGTGAGGTTTCCTCCACTTCTTGGTGAGGTAGAGTGTGAGGTTTCCTCCACTTCATGGTGAGGTAGAGTGTGAGGTTTCCTCCACTTCTTGGTGAGGTAGAGTGTGAGGTTTCCTCCACTTCTTGGTGAGGTAGAATGTGAGGTTTTCTTCAGTTCTTGTTGGGGTAAATTCTGAGATTTCTTGAAAACCTCCTGTGGAAAACTGTGATTTGTCCTCCATATCTTTGAGGATTCCTCCACAGCTCGGTGTGGTAAACTTTGAATGGACATTTTTAACATACTTTATAATTCTAAGTATATAGGTTGAAATGTACTTCTTGTTCTTAGCGTACTGTGTAATTCTAGATGTATATATTCAACCATATTGAAAGTTCAGAAAACACACATTCTTCTTCGGAATGGAAAATTACAGAGACTTGTTTTACTAGTTTATTATACACCATCTGGTCAGTGGTCGAACTGTCAGTAGGTGTAATGTCCTCTTCTGTCCCACCAGATCCAGAGATGTATCGAGAGGTGTGTTGGGACCTATACGAACGAGGATCTGTTGGAGAGACTGCCTTGCATCTGTGCCTGCTTGTCTCCACCACTATTCACGCTGAACTGGCCAAACGACTAGTCAAGCTGTATCCTAAACTAGTGAACGATATCTATCTCGATGATGAATACTACGGTAGGTCCATCATTATTATAAAACAAAACTTAATTTGTTCTAAGTAAAAAATAAATTACAATGTTTATGTTTCTCATCTCAAGACATGAATGAAACATAAAAAAATGAATGAAAATATGTTCAACTGTATTATCCACATGCGAGCAACTTATTTAATGTAAGCTATACATGACTGTTTAAGTTTAATGAGAGTTTGATCTAAATGGTTTAAATATAGCGCAAGTGTTGAATTTTTTATTTATTTTTTACAAGCAATAGTTTGTTTACGTAACTGTTTTCGAATTTACGTTATTTAGTTCAATTTTGATTTGGCGATTGTTGTATTATTACGTCATGTTACTAGAAATTCTAAGTTTTTCTCGTTGTTTTAATTGAGTATTATTGTATATAATATCTTGTAATGTGTGGAAAGTTCTAGGCCCCTGTCTGTCTATAAATATGCATTCAAAATGTGGCTGAAGTTAGACAAAATTAGTTATAAAGACAGAGTCGGATAGATAGATCTAGACTGAGTGATTGTGAGTTTAGCTATAAAGAGCATATTCTTGTTGTATTTAAAGTGAAATTATCACATTGTATTATTGTAATAACAGAGTAGAGAAGAATAATTCGTCTTGTCAATTGTGTTCTAAAGTAACCGAATCAGCCTGTGTGGACTTTGACAAAAAGAGACGATTATTTAAGCTCTGGATACAACTGTAATAAACAACAGTGCAATAACATTTGTATATAATTTGACTTGCTGTAATATATTAGTTTAAAACAAGTGGACTGTGTGCTGTTTGTTTATTGTTGAAATTTATTACCCACAAATCACAGACAGCTGTTGCAAAGAATCTGGCTCATACATACACAAAAACCTAACATAAATAAACTTATGAGTAGTAAGTATATGATAGCAGGAAATATAAAAATGTTAAAATTACACGTGCATAACGAATAGATAAATAAAAAAAAGATGCGTTAAACTACCATAATTAGGCGTAGTACACCAAAAAAAAACAACAAACAAATACTACAATAGAAGTTAATTTAAAGTAAAACAAAATGAATTTCCAATTGAAAAACTATCCTTAACATTAGTTATGAGTATATATACACATTTAATATTTAAGTGTTATTACAGTTGGGTTTGAACGATCATTCGACAGAGCCGAACTTAAGACTAATTATGGGCATAACAGAGAGGCTGGTGACTGCTAAATTAAAGTCCAATTTAAACAAACGGAACTTGGCGCTTTCATTTCTAAAACTCTAAGCTTGTTCTAATTTTTCGACAGTTCTGATTTCCTTACATATATACACTATAAACGCAGGTTTGATGGTAGAAATTATCAATTATTTGTCTGTTTGTAATTAAACACAAAGCTACACAATGAGTTATCTGTGCTTTGCCCACCACGGGTATCGAAACCCGGATTCTAGCCTTGCAAGTTCGCAGACATACTGCTGTGCCACTGGGGGGGGAGGGCGAAATTATAAATATATATGTCATAACGCATAAATTCTGAATGAAGAAGATCAGAGTAACTTAATTTTCTTCAGGATACACACGAGGTCAGAACGTGTCGTGTTCTTGATATGATGTTTTTGTAGCCAGAAAGAACAACAAGAAAGGAATGTAATAAAGGCGTTGTCATCGACATAAATACAAAGTTAATATCTTGCCATGGAGTATCATTTTATAAATAAATTATTTACAAAACTGCAGTTATCGTATTTCTTTCAGAGATATCGAAATGATACTAAACGCTCAACAACCAGATCATACTAGCTAGTATGATATTCGTAGGAGATATTCAGAGTGCGGCTTATGGAAGGTATACTTTATCGTTCTTCGCTAACATTCAGGGCTGTAAATCTTCTCTATAGAAATACATGTTACAACAGAACGCTTTCTTCTAGGAGAAAACGTCTTGCATATGGCCATCGTTAACGAGGATCCTGCCATGGTTAAATTTTTGGTGGACCATGGAGCCAATTACCATGAGCGTTGTATTGGGAACTTCTTCTGTCCTGAAGATCAGAAGGCCTCTAGAATGGATAGTCTGGACCACGAATTAGTGGACGTTGCTGTTAAGACTAATTATGAAGGGTACGGTACCTACATTACTTTGATTTTCATGCACCATGTTTTTACATATTGATATTTTCCTTGAATATGTAATTGATAAGACTGTGAACAACTTATAAAATAATTCAAAATGTGAAAATTAAGAACAATTGATTTAACTTTATGAGATCCTAAATATCAACTGAAAAAAATACCGCGATCTTGAAACACCTGGCTTCCATATTATCCTGTTGTAAAAACGTATCCCATGATTTTGACTCAATTAAGGTGTTGTATGATGCCTGATATACATTAAAATATCCTATTGTAAAAACATACTCCATATTTCAGAGCTCAGTTGGTATGATGTATGCCATTCATAATATATCATATTAAAAACCTACTTTCTGACTCTGAGCTCAGTTGGTATGATGTATGCCATTCATAATATATCATATTAAAAACCTACTTTCTGACTCTGAGCTCAGTTGGTATGATACCTTACAACTATATATCTCTTTGTACAAAATATATTCTCTGATTCTGAGTTGAGTTAGTATGATACCTTACAACTATATATCTCGTTGTAAAAAATATATTCTCTGATTCTGAGCTGAGTTAGTATGATAACTTACAACTATATATCTCTTTGTACAAAATATATTCTCTGATTCTGAGTTGAGTTAGTATGATACCTTACAACTATATATCTCTTTGTACAAAATATATTCTCTGATTCTGAGCTGAGTTAGTATGATACCTTACAACTATATATCTCTTTGTACAAAATATATTCTCTGATTCTGAGCTGAGTTAGTATGATAACTTACAACTATATATCTCTTTGTACAAAATATATTCTCTGATTCTGAGTTGAGTTAGTATGATACCTTACAACTATATATCTCTTTGTACAAAATATATTCTCTGATTCTGAGTTGAGTCCTTTGAAATATTTTCTCGTAGTAGTTCTTGATGATGTCAGTAACTCTATTGTATCTAATACACAGTTGTAATTATGTTGTATCTAATTTACAGTAGTAACTAAGTTATATCTAATATACAGTTGTAATTATTATAATATTTTTGACATAATATTAACTATGTTGTACCTAATACACAGTAGTACTTATGTTGTATCTAATTTACAGTAGTAACTAAGTTATATCTAATATACAGCAGTAACTATGTTATATCTAATATACAATAGTAACTATGTTATATCTAATTGACAGTAGTAAGTCTATTATATCTAATGTACAGTAGTAACTATATTATATCTAATGTACAGTAGTAACTATATTATATCTAATGTACAGTAGTAACTATATTATATGTAATGTACGGTAGTAACTATATTATATCTAATGTACAGTAGTAACTATATTATATCTAATGTACGGTAGTAACTATATTATATCTAATGTACAGTAGTAACTATATTATATCTAATGTACAGTAGTAACTATATTATATCTAATGTACAGTAGTAATTATATTATATCTAATGTACAGCAGTAACTATATTATATCTAATGTACGGTAGTAACTCTATTATATCTAATGTACAGTAGTAAATCCAATTTCCTCTTCTAGGTATTTTCTCAACAGGTTTAGGAGGAGCAATTCGTAGTTTATCTTTTAATATGTTATTACACAGATATGTATATTGGGGTGAATACCCCCTCAGCTTTGCGGCTTGCCTGGAACAAGAGGAATGCTACAGACTGTTGCTTGCCAAAGGGGCAGATCCAAATCGACAAGATACAAATCTCAATACAGTGATGCACCTTATGGTTATCTATGAGAAAATTGTAAGTTTTGTTTGTTTTTATCCACACAATAAATAGCTATGATAAGTTCTAAAACATTTGAACATTGTTTCTAACGCCCCTACTCATTGAATCAAAGCTTTATTGTAGATTTATCAGCCTGTAAGAGGACATTTACCTCTACAAGATGAAAATTGTTTCTAACGCCCCTACTCATTGAATCAAAGCTTTATTGTAGATTTATCAGCCTGTAAGAGGACATTTACCTCTACAAGATATGGATGATTAGTTGGCTAAACGGTAGGTCAGCCGTAAGACTAGGGGCTTATAACGCCAAAATTCGGGGTTCGATACTGCGGTGGGCAGAGCTCTTTGTGTAGCTAGTTATCTTAACAGTAACAACCTAATAGTTATCTTAGCGACAACAACCTACTAGTTATCTGAATAACAACAATAATCCACTAGTTATCTTAGCGACAACAACCTATTAGTTATCTTAATAACAACAATAATCCACTAGTTATCTTAACAACAACAACCTACTAGTTATCATAACAACAAAACCTACTAGTTATCATAACAACAACAACCTACTAGTTATCATAACAACAACAACCTACTAGTTATCATAACAACAACCTACTAATTATCTTAACAACAACAACCTACTAGTTATCTTAACAACAACAACCTACTAGTTATCTTAACAACAACAACCTACTAGTTATCATAACAACAACAACCTACTAGTTATCATAACAACAACAACCTACTAGTTATCATAACAACAACAACCTACTAATTATCATAACAACAACAACCTACTAGTTATCATAACAACAAGAACCTACTAGTTATCTTAACAACAAAACCTACTAGTTATCATAACAACAAGAACCTACTAGTTATCATAACAACAAGAACCTACTAGTTATCATAACAACAAGAACCTACTAGTTATCATAACAACAAGAACCTACTAATTATTTAACAACAACAACCTACTAGTTATCTTAACAACAACAACCTACTAATTATTTAACAACAACAACCTACTAGTTATCTTAACAACAACAACCTACTAGTTATCATAACAACAACAACCTACTAGTTATCATAACAACAACCTACTAGTTAGTTTAACAACAATAACCTACTAGTTATCATAGCAACAACAACCTACTAGTTATCTTAACAACAACAACCTACTAGTTATCTTAACAACAACAACCTACTAGTTATCATAACAACAACAACCTACTAGTTATCATAACAACAACAACCTACTAGTTATCTTAACAACAATAACCTACTAGTTATCATAGCAACAACAACCTACTAGTTATCTTAACAACAACAACCTACTAGTTATCTTAACAACAACAACCTACTTGTTATCTTCTTCTATCCCATTTCTCCTTTCAATACATGTCGTTGAAGAAGTGAAAGCCCTAATACTGAGCGCATTTAATAGGCGCGACTTCTTTGGGGGAAAACATATTTCTGTAAAGATAATTGGGTGCAACAAATGTGGTCAGAGGGAGATAGTGAAACTTTTAAAACACATTTAAAAACAATGAGGCAAACTGGTATATAGGATTGGAAAACTATTTGTGCTATAGAGGATTTTGGTTTTAAAGAGTCTAGCCGTATTCCTCATTTCTTAGTTATATTTGCTTGCGTCATTTATTTACTAATTTCCCTTTGATTTTTAAATATTTTCATCAGGCATATACTTGTTTAGCGTTTCGGTGGCTCAGCGGTAAGTCTTAGAGATCTTATCACGAAAATTCGGATTTCGATACCCTCTTTGGGCACAGTACAATTAGCCCATTGTGTTGCTTTATCTTTAATAAAGATTATATCAGTTATTTTGTAAATATATTTTCATATTGTCTGGACAATACCCTAACATCTCACGATATATAATTTATTTTGTATTTTGTTGATAATATGTTTTATTCATTGTGTATTTTCATTAATAAGTAAAGCACGTGATAAAACAAAATGATTTGAAATACAAGTTCGTAAGCATTGCGAAATATTTAAACATACCCGACACGACCCGAAAGCCGATCATACCCTTAATTCTTACAAACAAAAGGTAATGAAGTAACTGATTACAATTGATTTACACATACGTATAATTCAAGGACAACAAAGGATCTTTTGGCCCATGTAGCCACTTCCATCTACTAAACTAAACTTTCAAAATAAATATAAGATACTTAATGAAGTAACTGATTACAATTGATTTACACATACGTATAATTCAAGGACAACAAAGGATCTTTTGGCCCATGTAGCCACTTCCATCTACTAAACTTTCAAAATAAATATAAGATACTGAAATCCAGACCTTATTATTCAAATATTTAACAAACTTTCCCTTAAATTAAATGTGTGTACCATTTCAAAAGGCAACCCTTTAACTTTTCTGTTTTTATTATGTATGTGTTCCATTTTTGAATTTTTATTGCTATTTATTGAAATTTGAAAAAAAAATTATAATGCAGCTGGTGAATGAAACTTATAGCTGGAATTATAAAAAGAAGTAATGTATAACTTAATCAAATTTGTGTTTACAAAAAAAATATTATGTCTACGTACTATTTTCTTATTATGTGCAATGTTGATTTTATAGGAAATGTTCAATACAGCTTACGAGTTAGGAGCTTCTATTAATATCATCAACAGACAAGGATTGACTCCTTTAACACTTGCTGCAAAACTGGCTAGGAAAGAGGTAAGCAAGTTAAACATTTAATCCTCAAACTGCTGTAAAGTGAAACGTTCTAATCCCGTTCCTATAAACAGAGTAGTTTTATTGTGAGGTCCTAGATTTGAGTCATGAAACTAGTCGAGTTTTAACCTCTAGAGAAACACGTGTGCGTCTAGTGAGAGACAGCGTTTGGATGTGTATTATTCTCTAGAGGTTAAAACTCGACTAGTTTACACGTGTGCGTCTGGTGAGAGACAGCGTTTGGATGTGTATTATTCTCTAGAGGTTAAAACTCGACTAGTTTACATGTGTGCGTCTAGTGAGAGGCAGCGTTTGGATGTGTATTATTATTCTCTAGAGGTTAAAACTTGACTAGTTTACATGTGTGCGTCTAGTGAGAGGCAGCGTTTGGACGTGGATTATTATTCTCTAGAGGTTAAAACTCGACTAGTTTACATGTGTGCGTCTAGAGAGAGACAGCGTTTGGATGTGAAGTATTATTTTTACGCTAAAATTAATGAATTGTTTCTGTGTATGAAGTTCAAAATAGTAGAAAACGTATCTTTTAACATTTTCCCAAAGTTTAGTAAGTAACAAATCTTCCTAAACTGAAATAAGAATACAAAGGTAATCCTTTCTTCTAGTAATAGACAGTGTAATAATCACAAATATAATGATTACTACAACATTTATTATGGTATGAACGAATTTTACAAATAGTCTTCCGACAAATATTGTGTTCGCTATTATCCGGATATTATCAAAGCTCTGGATTGAGCGAAACACGTCATCGGCAATGGATATAGCGAATATAGTGTGGTTGGAATATTGATATCATTATAAACTCTTCTAATTCGTAAAATTATATAGAATGTAATGCTTGAAAACATAACATGCCCAAAACTAATGTCGCATGACAAGTATAAGTCATTGCTATAACTCCAAACTGTCGAATTTTCAAAGGTGCTTGCATCTGAAAGCGTCTGAAATGGATTGTTCGTATATAAGGTACAAAAAGGCCAAGTAAAGCTTCCTTGCAGCTAACTATATCAAGGATAAAACATAGAACATAACTACAAAAAAGCGCACGAAAGGCTGTACTTGGAGCTACCTATAGTAAGGAATAAAATATAAAAAAAGGCCACTTAATGCTCTACTGTAGCAAACCAAAAAATAACTAAACATGACAGGAATTTAGTTTGAAGGAAGAGAAAGCAACGTGATAGTTGCCTTCTTTTCCCACCAGGGGTGTTTGGGAACCTACAACCCCGCGCGTGAGAGTAATTTGTTACAGTGGTTATAATCGTGTTTAAAAACATTGACAGGAAGTTTTTGAGAGAAAGCTGTGAAAAAGTTCGGAGAACGCAAAATGAAGTGGTGGTGGTGATGAGCAGAGATGTTGCGGCTGTTGATGATGTGAAGAGGCGAGACAGAGAGATCCAGTATTAAGTTTGGGATAAGTCTAATTAACAAGATATTTATTAAGACATAATATAAAATCTCTGAATAACTGAATTCGAAAGAATGGAATAAAGAGACTGAGTACAAAGTAAAATACGAAATTAATAATACGCATGCGCAGTTCATTCAAAACCATATGCTTATCACTTTGAGAACAGACATTGAGACGTTTCTGCATATCAACTAAGTTTACCTTTCATTACAACTTTAAATTTTTCTTTACTTTGCAATAATTTAGCTTCGGCTCATTTCACAGACTGCTATAAACACCTTTTAGCTGCTTTATTCTTTACTATAGGTTCTATTCTTCGTTTTTGTGAATTTCTTTGTTTCAACTCGTAAAACCGTGTCATACAGTGAATGCTCATAGCTGTTTTATACTGTGTATATTATTATAAATACTATTACTTTACTTTCTTTGTAGTTTTATTGAATAAAGTTATGTCTACGTGAACTTGTTTGTCTAACGGCGTAACAATTTTTAAAAAAGACCAGAATTTATCGATCTAACACATACGCCTGCAAAAAAGCTTTGCTTAAATGGTGTACGTAAATATGGTAGAATAAGGGAAATTCAAGCAAAGGGCATGAAAACTACCGCAAATGTTTTTAAAGTTGTGGCTAGTTTATTATAATAATAATACTCAGTTTTTATCTATCCTTAAAATGCACGCGCACTTCATTTCAACGAATGTAAACAAAAGGTCGGTATAAATACAGTTAGGTTGTAAATACTGTTACGACTGCGAAGGTCACGTGACGCTCTGGCACATGCGTGACTGAGTTTCTCGAATTATAAGGGAAGTTCTAGTGTGATCGAGAAGCCCTCTCCGTTAGTATATAAGCCTGGGAGTGAAAGCCAGCGGGAATGTATAAAACAAGCGAACAGTAGTTATGGTGAATTTCGGGTAATTTACAATTCTGTTTCAAGCTAGTGTGTGTTTTATCGAGATTGTGAATCGCTGTGATTTATAGCGTGTATTATAAAAGTTGTTAAGTTTAAAGTGACGAGAAACGTACTGACTGTGGAATTACTTGTATCACTGAAGTTCCTTGGAAAGAATATCTACCGGAAATTAACAAACAAGCAGATACGTAACAAATTGTGTCAGAGAGTGGGATGGAAAAAGAGAGAAAAAGAAGAAGAAGATGGAAACGAGAAGTGGCAAATCAAACTCCAGCTTACTAGATTTGATGACGGCAATACAAGAACAGCAAGGGAAACAAGAAGAACGAGAAAATAAACAAGAAGAGATATTACAGCAGTTGTTGGAGGAAAAAGAAAAGAAGCAAGAAGAGAGATTACAGCAGTTGTTGGAGGAAAAAGAAATAAACAAGAAGAGAGAGTACAGCAGTGGCAAGAAAACCACCACCAGTGGC